CTGGCAGCAGTACTCTCTGTCTTCTATTGCTAGCAAAGATAAGTATACAACTTGATCCAGATGCACCCTTCCCCAACAACAAGCCCAGATGGCTTCCCTGTGCAGCCACTTCTGGTCAGGAATGGTCTTGGTGTAATGTCAGGGCTCCGGGTATGACCAGAGGTGTGTGGACTGACACAGGGAAACGCAGGCTTCAGGTATAGAGTAAACAAGACAATTTATTAAAGCCTAAACAACACAAACGCAGTGCAAGGTAAACATAACACAGTGCAAACAACCCAACCTCCAACAGATAACCATATATACAAATCAAACGTAGTCGGGCAGGCCGGGTCGGTAGCAAACGGGCAAACAGGGTGCCAGGAGCGAGCGGAAGAGTGGTCAGGAAAAGCCGAGGTCAGGACAGGCGAAGTTCGTTCAGAGTCAGGATCAAAGCAGAGGATCAGGATCAGGCAGGAAGCAGACAGGATGCAGACAGTATGCAGGTACAGGGGCTCATGGGAAACATACACCAAGGCACTGACTGCAGGTCTGGCCATTCCTTAAATACACCTCCTGCAATCAGCCTCAGGTGATGGCTGATTGCAGGAGTGAGCTTCTGGTTGCTGAGAGCACCTGCTGGCCAGCCCTGGTACTGCAGCCCACACGGCAGATGAGTCCCACCACTAATGGTGAGTCCATTCCTGACAACTGGAAGGATCAACAAGTAAAAATAAAAGAAAAAAAGAAAACTAGGACTAGAAAGCTGCAACAAAATTACATTTTTAATTCTTAGATTCAAGCACACTTTAAAATGTATCTAAATCCAAGACAAAAAAAAATCTTATTGTCTTGCAACAACGATTTTTCTTTCACAATCCTTAAATACAACAAAAAGCACATATTTGGGCAGTGTTAAATAAAAAAAACAGTGTTACTGAACATAGAAAGTGCACATTTTATTCTGTAATTTGTCCTGTTTAAAATGACAAATTATGATTCTGGTACAAAGCATTGCAAAGTTATTTGCAAATGAATTAAAGTTTTTTTTAAATTTTGTAAATTTGAAATGTGTACATATATGTTAAAGGTGTAAAAATATTAATAAACAAAACAAAAAAAAGCTTAAATATTAGTTGATAAAATAGAAACAAATAAAAAAAAAAAATCAGCAGAAAAATAATAATTGAATGGAGAAGGAGCATAAGGAATTAATTAAGCTGATTAGAGTAAACTAAGGATTAATAAGGGGTTAAACAAGAAAACCTAATCTAAAAAAAAAAGAAAACCTTTTTTTTTTACTGGTCAGGTTGCTTTAACTGACTTCATCTGCAGTTCAAGTTCATCCCTTTGATCTGTAGATGAACAAATAGAAAGATACAAAATGAAACATTTTATTTTTGTATGTTTCTGTATTCCTGGTTGAGCAATGTTGTTGATAAACATTGCCAGACTGCTTTTTTTTTTTTTTACAGCTCCAGCTACCAGAGCTTTCTCTGTGTAGTGGGCAATTCTGCTTTGATTAATCAGAGCTAAATTGCCCAGTACTGGGGCAGGGGGAGGTCCTGGCAGCCGGGCAGAAAGACTGGATGTGTTTTCAGTGGGTGGTCAGGTCCCTTGACTGATAACATTTTTGTAATTTCAGTGAAGCATTGTCAGCTCACTACAAGAATTTTTCCAAGCTTACTAGATTTCTGGTAGGATCACTGGATTTTTTTTGCACATTTTTTTTTTTTAAACAAATATGGCAAATTACACAGCTCCTTGTGTGTTTACATACACTTTACACATTCTCTTTTATTTTTGAAATTGTGCTATCCCACAAATGTGGTAGGTGCATGGTGTTCCTGTATACACAAATATGGAAACAAAAAACAGTAACACTACAAATACATAGAAAGTGGCAGCCTTCCATGTATATCCAGATAGGTTAAGGAATGAATGACAGAACCCCCTTAAAGAGAGTAGAAGGTTGATTAAGAGCAACAAACCCCAATACAGAGATAAGTAAACTGACAGTGGCACCCCCAATACACAGTAAATGGAGGGATTCCCTATATGCACACACATAAGTAATGTCTGTATTAACCACTTGCCCTCCTGAGGATTTACCCCCCTTCCTGACCAGGCCATTTTTTGCATTATGGCACTGCGTTACTTTAACTGACAATTGTGCGGTCATGCAACGCTGCACCCAAATGAAATTTAAGCCCATTTTTTCCCACTAATTGAGCTTTCCTTCCTCTTATACCTGTTCCAAACCCTCCTGATACAAATACCTGACTATTTCCTAAACAAGGTGCAGAGAGAGAGTTGGGAACTTCCTCTGGGAAGAGAAGGAACACCGTCTCTCTCACCAAATCCTCACTAGACCTAGAACTGCATGTGGGATAGGATTGCTGGATGTGGCTAAATATTATAAGGCCAAGCATATGGCTCGGATTCTTAATCAGTGCCATTCAAAATACTAACCACAACACACAAAGCCATCCACAACACTGCCCCTAGCTACATCACCAACCTCATCTGCAGATATCCGCCAAATCGCCAGCTCCGCTCCTCCCAAGACATCTTCCTCTCTAGCTCCCTTATCACCTCCTCCCACACTCACCTCCAGGACTTCTCCAGAGCCTCTCCCATCCTCTAGAACTCCCTACCCCAGTATGTCCGGTCAGACCCCACCCTGTCTGCCTTTAGGCAATTTTTGAAAACTCACTTATTCAGGGAAGCCTACCCCACCTCCACCTAAGAACTGTACTTAAGTCACCTCTATCAGAACATCGCCTACAGCTATCACCTTTTGTACCATCTCCCCTTCCTTTAGACTGTAGGCGCCATGAGCAGGACCCTCCTATTCCTTCTGTAATGAAATGAATTGTAATTGTACTGTCTCCCGTTATATTGTAAAGTGCTGCGCAAACTGTTGGCGCTATATAAATCCTGTATAATAATAATAATCCTGCCTCTGACAAGAGACAGGTCCATTTAGAACAGGCTTTTTCGGAGTACTGATTGGGAGTTCTGCCGTGGCTGGATCAGGACACTTCCTGACACATTTTTAACCATTTGACTATTGGTACCACATTGTTTTTAGAACTTCTAGGCTCCCAATTCTCTGGCCTGACTCCAGTGATAGGTCACCCAAAGTTTCCGCCAGGCTTCCATGATAGCTCTTCTTTGCCAGCAGTGCAACAGGGCACCTATCATTTACAGCATTTCTGCAGAGCAGGGCAGTGAAACTCGCTCTCTGATATACAGAATATGTCTGACCTGCTGCTGCATTTATGGAAAGCTATGCAATTACACCACTTCCTGTACCTTCTCTGGGAAAAACAGTGTCACTGCCAACCCTGACTGGATTTGTGGAACTCTGCCTGGCAGAGGAACTGACGCCACACAACGTATCGGTATCCTATCGCCTTCTGAAAAGCTCAAGTGCTTCACAACCCCCTAAATACTTGGACAAATGGGAGTGAGATCTGTGTACCACTTTCACTGACCAGCAAAAAGATGGTATTATTCAGATGACCCACAAGGCCTCAGTGGCTCTGTACAAACAGGCAGTGACACATACGTGGATCTCGCACACATATGTAAACAATGTTTACACCACACATGTGAGATATTGCCACGAATGTTATAGTGAGAGCAATAATTCTAGCGTCAGACCTCCTTTGTAACCCTAAACTGGCAATCTGTAAAAAATTTTTTAAAATGCTGACTTTGGAGATTTTTAAGTTCTGTAGTTTGTCGCCATACCATGAGTATGCGCAATTTTAAAGCATGACTCGTTAGGTATCATTTTACTCAGAACATCATCTTCTTCTTTACTTTACTGGAAAATTGGGTTATATTTTGTTTATTTTGCATTAAAATGTATTAAAGTGTATTTTTTCCCACAAAAAGCATATCAAAAACCGCTGTGCAAATACCATGTCACAAAAAATTGCAACACCCACCATTTTATTCTCTAGGGCTTCTGATAAAAATTTTATATATATATATATGTATGGGGTTTCTAAGTAATTTTCCAGCTAAAAAAAAATACTGATTTTTACATGTACACAAAGTGTCAGAAAAAGGTCTCGTTAAGTGCTTCCCCAACCGCCCTACAGCAGAACTACTGCTAGAGGGTGGCAGGGCTGCACAAAATCAAGTATATATGCATGATATTGTATTTCTGGGTAGGGGGTGCGTGCGCCCTACCCGTGCTGCCATTGGCTGCCTCAGCTGTTGGTCACCGAGTCCCAGCCGGTAATTCCCCGCCGGCACCTAGCGATCGCTGAGCATCACTGACAGGGGAGAGACCTGTGAACAATACAGATCTCTCCCGTCAGCTCCGGCACACTGCTTTGTATGGCTCTGCATAGCAGAGCCATACAAAGCAGTGTGCTTACATAGTAAAGCACACAGTTAATCATTTGATCGCCCCACTGTATTGGTGTCACTGGGGATGTTGGTGACAGTTAGTGAGTTCCCTCCCCCCGTGTCAGAATGCCCGCCACAGTCCCGCTACAAGTCGCTGATTGCCGCTATTACTAGTATAAAAAAAAAAATTTTTAAATCCAGTATCTAAACTGTCATTTGTCAGCGCTATAACTAAACCAATTAATTTACAGGTATTGGGATTTCTTTAAGTAAAGTCATGTAGCAGAATACATTTTGGCCTAAATTTATGATGAAATTTTTTTTATTTTTTTTAGTGGACATGTTTTACAGCAAAAAGTAAAAAATATTGTTTTTTTCTCAAAATTGTCGGTTTTTTTGTTTATAGCGCACAAAAAAAAAAACCGCAAAGACGATCAAATACCACCGAAAGAAAGCTCTCTTTGTAGGGAAAAAAAGGATGTCAATTTCATTTAAGTGCAGCGTTGCATGACCGCGCAATTGTCAGTTAAAGTAACAGCGCTGTATCGCAAAACATGGCCTGGTCAGGAAGAGGGGTACATCCTCAGGAGGGCAAGTGGCTAAAGAGGCCTGTTGTGGCCGCACAGACTACGAGGTCTCCCCCTGGCACTCACCTGGCTATGAAGGCCTCTTGCCTCTGTCGGAGGATCTCCTCCTTCCCCTTGTCATAGTAATCGCCCCACTGTTTACTGCTGTACGGCCTGCTGAACACAGCTCTGTCCCTGGAGCGGCTCCGCCGGTGCCCGTTGCTGATTCCTTTGTCTCGGGACCGAGACCTCCCCGTCTTCTTGGCCGGAGAGCCGCTGTCATGTCGTCTTCTCCGGGGAGAGCCCGGACTGCGGCTCCGAGAGCGGTGTACAGGAGCCATTCCCGACTAACGAACAACAGCTGCTGAACACGGAACCGGAAACCCACCAACCGGAAAACGTGTGTCCGCCTGCGATACCAGTCCGTGTAATGGGGGGCGTGGCTGTGCATCGGTCGTACGGAGTCCCCTGAGTAATAATAGACGTGTACAATAGTTCCTAATGCTGGGATTGCAGTCTTTTGCAGCAATGAGGGAATATAGAAGAGAAATAAATGTGTTTGTGGAGAATGCACACCTCACAGTGATGGAGTCAGTCACTTCTATGTAGATTACTTCCTATATGGCTGTTTTCTGGTATAAAACATAATAAAAGTGCCATAAAGTTGAACATTAATAAAGTTATGTTATATCAACATTTCATATTCCTGATATGTGCCTGCTATACCATGTACTTGTATGAAAAAGTATCCTGTCTTCTTTGTGTGAAATCCCTGGTGTTCCTGCCAGTCCCCCTGCTTTCGTAATAAAAACTGACCACACTAGGTAAGAGAGCACACCTATCCCAGTGTGGTCAGTTTTCTTCTATGCATTCTACTTAGGAGAACAGCCTGCCTGTCTTCCAGTTGTCAGACTTGTACTCTTCACTGGGAAGATCATTGTATTACTGTTTCTGTGCCTCCTGCTGATAAGCCCCCCCATTCAGTCTCCACCCCCACCTCTCTAAGGCTACGTTTACACTAGCTTTGTCAGCAGGCATCAGACAGGCATTTGGAGATTTTACGCATGGAAGCACACAGGGCTGTTCACACTGAAGCGTTAGCGTCGCGGCAAAACTGACGCCTCATGTTGAGTCAGGAGGAGTTGAAGCCTCCCATTCAAGTCTATAGTGATGTTTCTCAAATGCCTGGCAGGCGTTTTGGGGGGTTTGTCATGCGTTTACGGAGCATTAATACCATTAAACTTCATTATAGACCTTTGTGTTGCGGTTTTAACGCTTTGCAAACACCTCAAAACCCTGCATAGGGCGCTAGGGGAGCGTTAAGAAAGTTTCCAAACGCCTGTCTAATGCCTGTCAAACGCTATAGGAGCATTTGGCAGGAGTTAGAAATGAAGTCAAGTGTGAATGTAGCCTTATGCAGGCTATAGACAGGTTGAAAATCGGCTGATTTTTCGGCCCAAAAAAAAGATCGGACGATTTTCGCACCGTTAGTGGGTTAATTGGTCAGCCGTTTTTTCGGGGTTTTGGCACAATTTTTTTATCGGTAAAGTTGTAAAAATATTGGCTGATTTTGCTGAGCGGTCGATTTTCCCGGCAATGATGGGCAAATCGGCCGATCATTTTACCGATAAAAAAATCTGCGAATGACCCGTGACCTGCAAGAAGAAGAAAAAGAGGAAGAAAAAGAAGAAGAAGCAAAAAAAGAAGAAGAAAAAAAGAAGAATTCCAGTCCGCTATTATATTTTATATGAAAAGTATTGCGGTTGCAACATGGTATCTATTTGTATCCGAATAAAAACATCTGTATCCAAAATGGATACAAATGGATACATTGTTGCAACCGCAATCCTTTTTCATGTCAAATATAATAGCGGAGCTCTCTGCAGGGACAGAAGTAATTAAATGCCGGCCGTAGACGGGACGAAAATCGGCCGATTTTTTTTTTACCATTGGTGGTAACGTCGGCCTATTGCACGACTGATTTTTTCGTTTTTGTTTCTAAAAAAACGGCCGGTTTTCAACCCGTCTATGGCCTGCATTAGGCTGGTCATAAATTAGTCGAATTCAGAACAATTTTTCTGTTGAAAATCATCGTTTCTAATTAGCGTTCAAATTTCGACCATTAGTGGCCCGCAGCAACAAACGATTTCATGCGAGCATAAAATTTGAGTGATTGGGCATGTTGGAAATTTTTGGAAAAACAAATTTCTAATCAATGACAGGAGAATCGTGCAAGAAATATAATCGAAAAAGAATGTGCATGAGCTGTGATCTGGAAAGAAAGATTCCCGACTACGAAACTTCTTTTTCCGTAACAACATGAGGTGAAATTGAAGGCGTGGTTGGTCAAATTTCGAAACCAATGGTGGCACCGTCAGATTACAAAATGCCCAACATTTCCGATTTTTGATTGACAAATCGTTTGGAATTTGACCCATATATGGCCTGTATAAGCCCCTTAGCCTGATTTCACACTGAATACGACTTTGAAATCATGCGACTTTACCTGAAGTCAGTGCGAATTATAAGACATCTGTGAGACTTCATGCAAGTCGCACCTGAAATAGCTGAAAGTAGTGCAGGAACTACTTTCAAAATTAGAACGGCTCAATTGCTGATCACTGGGTGCAACTTTGAACTGTAAAATCGCATGAGAAGTCACATCACTGTGAACGGGGGCTAATGCAGCTGAGAACAGAAGTCATGTGGTCACTTTTTTATTTTAAAGGTATTTATAATCTTTTTTATATATAAACACAAATGTTTGAATTTCTGCTTGTTGGGGTTTAGATCCGTTTTTTAATGCTTCATGTGTTTTTTGTAGAAGGGGACTGGATTTTATAAAACAAGACTGTACAAATGTGCTAAAAACACATGTTTGTGCATTTTACATGCTTTTTTAAGCTGAAAATATGTCACCAGTACACCAAGGATCCAAACGGGTCCAAAGCTTACTTTATGATTTCAATGATTTCTTTACATGTCCTAGAATCTGTTGTCCTGGCAGCAGCATTTTGGCAAAAAACAAATGGCTGATGCTTGTAAAAGTGTGTAACGTGTTTACCTGCATCAAGAGTTTGGGCATTAATTCATTTTGATTGGTCAGAATAAATAATGAATTCTGGCCCTAGAAATGAATGAATGCTCAAGTGGTGAATGCGCGTGTGCTTGAGCTTGTTGGTGAGTTGGAGAGTGTGCATGTGTATGTTGGTGAGTGTAGGCATGTGGGCAGAGCCAACTCGCCAGGTGCACACAGGGAGTTTTTACTTTTTCTCACTCGTCTTCCTCGGGTCTCTCTGGTGTACATGCTTACTAATTTTAGGGACCAGCCAGGGCTCCGTTCATGTGATATCAACATTATGGTGGTACCCCAACTTAGAAGCAAGCTGTACACCCCGGTGTCTCTGTATCATAACCTGCAGCTGTATACAGGTGCCTCCCCACAATACATACACCTGCTCAGGATATGACAGTTTGAAGGGGACACCAAAATGGCCCTGATCAAAAATCTACATACCATGGAATGTCTGGCCTTGGTACAGACAGACAAGGTGACATACATAGGTTAAAATAGCGATTAAATGGAATTTCCCACATCTGTGGCTTTTTAAATTTCAGTTAATGTCTGTGTATAAATAGTCAATGAGTTTGTTAGCTCTTGCGTGGATGCACTGAGCAGGCTAGATACTGAGCCATGGGGAGCAAAAAGTAAAAAAACCTGAGTAACAAGCTAATGGAACTTTATGAAGATGGAAAAGAATATATAAAGCCTTGAATATGTAGTCAGTACTGTTCAATCACTTATTATGGGGTGGAAAATTCAGAGATCTCTAGATACCAAGCCAAGGTAAGGTAGATCAGGAAAGATTGTAGCCACAACTGTCAGAAGAATTGTTTGGGATACAAAGAAAAAAATAAGTAACCGCAAGAGAAATGCAGGCTGGAAAAAGATAGTGTGGTTGTTTCAAGGAGCACAATATTTGAACAAAAGTGAGCTGCATGATCAAGTTGCCAAAAAGAAGTCTTTACTGCACTAATGCCAAAAAAAAGCCCAGTTACAATATGTCTGACAGCAACTTGGCACTCCTCACAGCTTCTGGGGTGAGGTCTGAAGGCATGGGTAATATTATGAAAATTGATGGCAAGATGAATGCATCATGTTATCAGAAAATACTGCCATGGCCCTTTGCAAATTGGATGCTCTTGGACTTTCCAGCATGACAGTGAACCTAAGAACCAAGTTAACCCTCCAGTGGTTACAGCAGAAAAGGGTAAAGGTTCTGGGATGGCCATCACAGTCTCCTGACCTTATTATCATCGAGTCACTCATGGGGGAGATCTCAAACGTGGGGTTTATGCGAGACGATCAAAGACTCTGCATGACCTGGAGGCATTTTGCCAAGACGAATGGCCAGCTATACAACCTGTATGAATTCAGGGCCTCATATACAACTATTAGAAATGACTGCACACTGTCATTGATGCTAAAGGGGGCAATACACAGTATTAGGAACTAAGGATATGTAGACTTTTGAACAGGAGTCATTTCATTGGTTTTTCTTGTTGCCATGTTTTGTTTTGAGATTGTGCCATTCTGTTATGACCTACAGGTAAATATGAATCCCATAAAAAATAAATGTGTTTGCCTGCTCACTTATGTTTTCTTTAAAAATGGTACATACAGTATGTTACCAATTCTCCAATTCTGCAGAATTTTGAGCACAACTGTATATCTCCATGAGCAATTCCATGCAAGCAGATGCAATTGGCTGTGGGAGTTGTTAGTCTGCTGTTGCTTTCAATTGGGCTTCTGTCCACAGCTAATTGCCGAGAATCCCCGCAGGGTCCCCTGCATTTAGTTGCAAACAGCCCCATCGCAAGTGCTAATAGGGCCTAAGACTCCTCCACTTTAAAGGAGCTATTTCACACCATAGAAATGCAGTCTGGATGTGTTCTGGATGTGTTTCTGCACACGATGTTTTGATGCATTCTGGCGCATTTTTTATACTTTTTTTATGTGTTGTAGTGCATTTTTCCCTCTTCTCTTCTTCATCTTAAAAAGGAACATGTACATCCCAGTGCTTTTCTGGTGCGTTTAGGCATATTCTGGTGTATTTGTGATGCGTTTTGCCATGTTCCAATATAGTTCAGTGCAGAAAAAATGCAGCATGCTCTCCTTTTTTCCTGCACTGGAATCTACTGGAACTTACTGCAATGATGAGAACTATGCCATTAGAACCCATATAACCTATTGTCTATGCCTTATTGATGTAGAAAAAAATGCATTGGACTGCATCTGGTGTGACCTGACCCAAAAGTATGCTGCTTTGCTTATTACAAC